GGAATTGGTGCGTGCATCTGACCTCTCTGGATTTTTCCTGATGCATTTCGCTTTTCTGCTGCTTTTACTCCATATCCTTTGCTATAATAATAAACCTTGGCCACGACTAAAATCTGCTACTAAGTCCTGTGAATACTCCTGGTGAGTCACTGAACTTGTGGGTAGTCATGGGGCTCCCTAAATGCCTCCCACCCATGGGAGGTACAGGCTCTAGTTATGGAATGAAGAAGTCATGGGGATGAAAAGTACAGCATAAGAAAATATAGTCAATGGTATTGTATGGTCATTACACTTGTGGTGAGCATAGCATGATGTATAGATTTGTCAAATCACTACTTTGTACATCTGAAACTAATGTAACATTGTGTGTCAACTATACTTAAATTAAAAAAAAAAAAAAGAAAGAAACAGGGGCACCTGGGTGGTTCAGTTGGTTAAACACTGGACTTCGGCTCAGGTCATGATTGCACAGTTCGTGGATTTGAGCCCTGCATTGGGCTCTGCGCTGGCAGCTCCAGAGCCTGGAGCCTGCTTCAGTTTCTGGGTCTCCCTCTCTGTCTTCTCCTCCCCTGCTTGCCCTCTCTCTCTCTCTTTGAAAACTAAATAAACATTAAAAAAATTTTAAAAAGAAACTGTAAACAGAGGGGCCTGGGTGACCCAGTCCAGTTAAGCATCTGACTTGATTTGGGTTCAGGTCATGATCTCACAGTTCATGAGATCAAGCCCTGTGCTGGGCTCTGTGCTGACAGCATGGAGCCTGCTTAACATTCCCTCTCCCCCTCTCTCTCTGCCCCTCACCTTCACATGCATGCACACGGGCTCTCTCTCTCTCTCTCTCTCTCAAAATAGATAAAGAAGTCTAAGGAAAGAAAAAGAAACACACACAAAAACCAAAACCAAATCCAAAAACCAAACTACCTCCTACATAGGTCTTCACCTAGGAAAACAGAACACAAATTGTCCAGAATAAGTATGCTTTCTATCTTGCACCTATGCATCTTAGTACCATCTGTTGACATTCTAGCAATACATCAAACTCTTGTGAATCTGGTTGATGTGAGTCTCTTCATAAGCGCCTGACTGACAACAGTGTCACTCATAAAAATCTTAGAAAGATTGTCTGGAATCCTGTGACTATCCAATTTATGATGTCCTTTCAGGGGCCAACCTGGATGACATTTCTTCAGTGTCTCTTCTACATTCATCACTTAACATGTAATAAGATGAAGCCAAGTTCAAGGGCCAAGAGTGAGATAAAAACAAAGGGTGTGCAGGGATCCCATTTAGTGGTGGGGTCCAGAAAGGAATCCTGAATAAAGGGGCAATAGAGACCCCTGGAAGAAGGGACATCATTTCAAATGGGACGAGTGACAAGGTATGCGCATCTGAGGCAGAGTAGTCTGCAGGAGGGGAAATATAGGGCATCTTCAGGGACAGTGATTCTGAAGGGCCCTAGCTTGGCTCTAAACAATGTCAGAGGTGGCAAGTAGCTTGGGAAGTATGATGTTCAGGGTACACTGGGAGCTATGGAAGAATTGGCCTTTCTGGTGGATATGTATCTGTTTACATTACAATCAGTCAAGGCTTGGTGGTCCTTATTCCTGGGCTCAAGGCCAGGAATGATTTTGAATAAGCATGACATTCTCCAACATGCCAAGTGCATCTCTGCCTCAGGGCCTTTGCACTGACTGTTCCTTTTGCCTGGAATGCCCTGCCCTGCCCATTTCCCCATGGCTGGTTCTCTCTAGTTATTTAGATTTCATCTCCAAAAACCAGCTTCCCACTAAGGCAATGTGGCCTCTCTCACCACATCATTACCGAATTTCACTGACAAAATAGAAGAGATCTCCACTCCTTAGAACATATTCTGCTTCTTTCCATCCCCTTATGCTTATCTTTATTCTCTGATGAAATCTCTCCGTCAACAGGTAATTTCACATGAACCAAAACCACTTTCTGTATGAATTTTGATTTCATTGCAACTGGCTGGACACACCTTCCCTAGTTGAAACGGCCGTTTGTCAAACAACTTTGACGACAACCCTTGTCTGAGCCGCAGCATTTTCTGCAGGATATACAATTACTGAACAAATTTTGCAGCTAAACTAAGGTAATGCTCAGTAACACACTGAGAGAGGCACTCAGCACTGGGTTGGGTGTAAACACTTTGGAGGCATGCTACCCTTTTCTTCCTGTGTCCAGGCAAAAATCTTGAATTGTAGTTTCTCCCTCAGTCCTCAGACAGTGTCGAGGACAGTGGTGCCATCAGCAGAGGGGGGACATTTTCAAAGAATGGGAAAGAGTGCCAGACCCTCCGGGTCGCTCACCCGCAAATCTACCTGAGGTCACAATTAGCTCAGGCTTGAGAAAGAGCACGGAGGCCATCGCCTCACAGTCTGACTGTCACCAGATCCCTGACAGAGAGGGTCTATTATGTTTTGTGTCCCTTCCTTCACGAATAAAATTATTTTGCCCATAAAACAAATACACCAGACAGGGGTTGGCAGATGATGGCCCATGGGCCAAATCTGGCCCACCTCCTGTTTTTGCATAACCCATGAGTTAAGAATGATTTTTATGCTTTTCAGTAGTTGAAAAAAATGGAAAGAATCATAGATCATGTATCATGACATATAAAAATTATATGGAAGTGAAATTTCTGTTTCTATACATAAAGTTTTATTTGCACAGCCATACTCATTCATTTACACGTTGTCTCTGGCTGCTTTCAGGCTACACAGCAGTAGGGGTGGATAGTTGTGATAGAGACTGGCCCTCAAAGCCTGACGTATCACAATCACAGTCACAGGCCCTTTACAGAAAAGGTTTGCCAGTTCTGTTCTGGAGTCCTGAATGTGCCCACAAGCCTGACTTTGGAAGGACTTGGATAAGAAAGAGTTTGTTTACCCCTCGATATTAGTAATACCGCATCTCCTTTGCCCTGAAAACAGTGTCCGTGTAGCCCTAGATTTAAAGAGAAATCACGGAGAAAACCCACTTACATAGGATCCATAATCCACAGCCAGGGTCTGCAGGGCCCATGGGAGACCAAGGCCAATGAGGATATCAAACACGTTGCTCCCAATGGAGTTGGATACAGCCATGTCTCCCATGCCTGCGAGGATGAGAGGTCACTTGAGTTAGAAAGGAGATCTCAGGGTAGGACAGGGAACCCCAGAGGGACTCTCCCAACCCTTTGGTCTGATAGCCAGAGACTTAGCTGGTAGGTCTGCTAGCTCATTTGCTAGGTGATTCCCTTCCCAGGCCATCACCTGTATTTTCAACAGCATATGCATTTTTAGTAGAATGGAATGGAATATGACAAGAACAGAATAGAATGATATGCACATTCTAGTGAGTTGTTGACCTTTACTTCAAACATGACCACTGGCTAAATGGGAATGATTCCAAACACCAAATAGAGTTCCAAAGATTCTGAAACACCCTTCTAGAAAGGAATAAACTTGATAGTTCTGTTAAACCTCTCATGAGCTCACCAACCCATATATTTTAGTACCATCTCCCAACTGCTCTACCCTGTTCTCAATTCTTCTAAATAATTGAGTACTATTAAGAAAAAATAACGTGGAGTGCCGAGGTGGCTCAGTGGGTTGAGCATCTAACTCCTGAGTTTTGCTCAGGTCATGATCTCATGGTTTCATGAGTTCCAGCCCCACGTTGGACTCTGCCTGCTGACAGCGTGGAGCCTGCTTGGGATTCTCTGCCTTTCTCTCTCTCTGCCCCTCCCTCGCTCATGTTCTCTCTGTCTCTGTCTCTCTCTAAATGAATGAATAAATGAATGAATGAATGAATGAAATCAGCAAAATTTAGTGAGTACATCTAGAGGATACTATGCTAAGTGTTACAGCTGCACATTGTGTTTGTTGAAAACAAATGCCGTCTAGCACAAATCAGGCATATAAATTAGAGCGGTGCTAGGGAAGGGCATGGCCATCTGGAAGGGGCGTCCACCTGTAAGCTTGGTTTTGAAGGAGCGGAGGGTGGGCCATACACTGACGACTGACCTGTGGCAACCATCACTGTCAAGGGTACTGCAGCTGGGCAGACCTTAGGTCATGGAGTCTGTCTTCTCTAAGCCTCAGTTTCCCTAATCCATAAAATGGGCATATGATTTTCCCTACCCCATGGAGTTGTTTAAATTAAATAAGATAACAATACTTAAACTGCTTTGCTCAGTGTGTGGCACTCAGCCAAGGTTAGCTATATTACATTTATTACTATTTTTAATAATAGAAGAATGGTAATACAACCTTCAGAAGAGGTTCTGGGTGCTACCTAGAAAACATCTCTGCCTTTCTTTTTTTTTTTTTTTTTTTTTTTTTTTAATTTTTTTTTTTTTCAACGTTTATTTATTTTTGGGACAGAGAGAGACAGAGCATGAACGGGCGAGGGGCACAGAGAGAGGGAGACACAGAATCGGAAACAGGCTCCAGGCTCTGAGCCATCAGCCCAGAGCCCGACGCGGGGCTCGAACTCACGGACTGTGAGATCGTGACCTGGTTGAAGTCGGACGCTTAACCGACTGCGCCACCCAGGCGCCCCATCTCTGCCTTTCTTAAGGGTAGATCTTCTGGCTTATTTCCCTGTTCTATTGATGCCAGTTAGCTTTTTTTTTTTTTTAATTTTTTTTAATGTTTATTTATTTTTGAGACAGAGAGAGACAGAGCATGAATGGGGGAGGGTCAGAGAGTGAGGGAGACACAGAATCGGAAGCAGGCTCCAGGCTCTGAGCTGTCAGCACAGAGCCCGACGCGGGGCTCGAACTCACGGACCGTGAGATCATGACCTGAGCTGAAGTCAGACGCTTAACCGACTGCGCCACCCAGGCGCCCCGATGCCAGTTAGCTTTTTGACCAACACAGCACTGAAGTCACCCATCACCCTGGTAACTGCCATGTGGATCCCCCAAAGCTCTTCCTGCCCATAGGGAGGCCTTCCTTCCTCCCCTATCCCTGCCCCCATCTAACTGGAGGCCTCACCTTGTCTGGCCACGATGAGGCTGGCCATGCAGTCAGGCACACTGGTTCCAGCTGCCAGGAAGGTGATCCCCATGATGACATCAGGAATCCCCAGCGTGTATCCAATGATTGTGACCTGGATGAGGCAGGAAGAGGTGGTAAGCAGGGAGCCGGTGCCAGCCCGACCCACTTGTGGATCCTCTGCCTGACAAACAGAAAAAGTTGCAGTCTGGCTAGTCTGTCCCGGGAGCAATGCCTGCTCTCTGTATCAATGCAGAGGACCAAGAACATTTCATGGAGCAGACCAGGACTGCAGGTCAGGGGACCAGGGTGCGGTGATGAAGCCCAAGTTTTCCAACCAAAGACTGGTGTTTTATACATGTTCCTTTCAGGCGAGGCAGCCATCTCGAGATAGGAGAAACAGTTTCTGGGAAAAGGTGATATTGGGACAGAATATTTAACCTCAGACTGGTCCTGGGAAAGAAACCCAGAATGGATGACTGCCATCCTGTGCTGGGAATTTAGGTATCTGAGTGCCGAGCTGCACAACTGGAATTCACGAGAACTTAAAGCGTGGGAACAACAGCCACACTATACTCGCTTATGTTGATTGATGCAGTACTCAGACACCGTGCTAAGTGATGTTCATGAGTTTTAACTTGTTAAAGTTTCACACCAACCCTACAGGGTAGGTGCTAGATTACCTCCACTCTTCAGATGGGAAGCGGAGGCAATGCTCAAGGAACGCTGGGGACAGCCAGGCTCCTCTCCACAGGCAGCACCACCATTTGCATAGAAGGGGTTAAGCCAGAAGGCAGAAACAGGTGCTACCCAGGCAGTGCCTGCATTATGCAAATGTGCCCATTCTTGGCCCCTGATTTCCAGAGGGGGGAGGGGAAATAGGCAGGCAGTTGGAGAGGCTAGCTGTTGAGGGGCCAGTGGTAAAATGGAGGCAACTGGAAAAAGAAAGCATTTCCCGTGTGTTGACCTAAGGAGAGGTCCATCCACAGGAGCGGAGACGATTAGGTCATTTCACGATGCCACCTGAGCGCCTTCACTTTCCAGAAAATTAAGAGAAATGCAAACCATGCGCTGTAAGTAGCACGCTCTCTCTTCAGCTCTACCTGGCCTCTCAGCCCCACTGTAAGAGACACGTATCCCTGACTTGGCTCCAAAGGTCACGGTTGCTCCTTCCCCATCCAAAGGTTTGGGGGATGGTAAACCGCTGGGATACCTGACTTCTTCTTCCTCTCAAACCAGAAAATGCACTTGATGTCCATTCCGTGCAGGACTGATCTGGGGATGGCCTTGGGGCTCTCTGTCTCCCATTCTCCAGGGAGGAAAGTGAGATGCACTTGTTCCCAGGGACCTTTTGCGAAATGGAGCTGGCCAAGCTGTGTTTCTCCCTTTTTAACCCTCAGCTAGGTCCCTGCAGGGACCGGTTTGGCTCAGTGGCATTTGGCCTGGAACAGAGCTGGGGTTCCTGCTCTTGCTAGTGTCATTATTACCAGGTTTGCGGTTTTGTCTGGAGTTTGGGGAACCGATTCTCCAGGGAGCTGGGACCAAGTCTTGTATTTCTCCTTGTGTTCTCCCTTACTCTTGGCCATTTCTCAGAACTTCTTAGAACCTCCACCAGGGTGGAAGGAAGAAAACAGGAGGGGCAACTCCAGGTCTCTTGGTAGGCTTGCAGGTTGGTGGACCTGGGAAAACCAGCTAGCACCTGGAGGTTAGGAACACCAGAACTATTCCCCAAACTCGGAACAGAGACGGCACCCAATGAACATATCGAATAAAAACATCAATGAATCCTGCATGGGGGAGAAACCCTACAAGATGTGGGTTAGAAAAAAATTATCTGCAGGGGCGCCTGGGTGGCTCAGTCAGTTAAGCATCTGACTTCGGCTCAGGTCACAATCTCGCGGTTCGTGAGTTTGAGACCCACCTTGGGCTCTGTGCTAATAGCTCAGAGCCTGAAGCCTATTTCAGATTCTGTGTCTCCCTCTTTCTGCCCCTCCCTCTTGCCTGATCACACTCTGTCTCTGTCTCCCTCTCTCAAAAGTAAATAAACAAAAAAAAATTATCTGTTGATGTTAAAGGCAAGGGATAATTTGTGAGTTAACTGTGTCAGGTTTACAAATTTGCCATGATTTCCAAAATAATCTCTTCAGAACCTTTTTTTTTTTAGCCCTTGGATTTAAGGTTTATTTAGTTTTGAGACAGAGACAGAGAGAGAGTAAGCAGGGGAGGGGCAGAGAGAGAGGGAGACACAGAATCCAAAGCAGCCCCAGGCTCCGAGATGTCAGCCCAGAGCCCGACGTGGGGCTCAGACTCACGAAATGTGAGCTCATGACCCAAGCCGAAGTTGATGCCCAACCGGCTGAGACACCTAGGCGCCCCTAGATCTTGGGTTTAATTCTCCAGAATTTATATTACAGTTCTGTGCAATGTTTGAACCAGATTAATTTAGATCTGAGCAGTTTTGTCACAGCTTTTCATCTCTGCCTAACTCTGACTGGACTAGGTTTGCTCCCCAGTTAAAAAGCAGAGTTGTAAATGGGCAATGCACTCTGGATGGTTGTGTTGCCTTAAAATGGCTTCGGGGCAGAGGCTCTTGTGAGCCCTAGCCCCACAACCCATGCCAGTCCTTGAATCATTGTTTTAGCTTCAGAAAGGACCCTTGAGTGGTCTCCGGGTCTAATGACCTTATTTACTGGTTGACAGTAAACTGAGACTCAGTTAGGGGAAGTGACTGTGACGGAGGGAATTATTACTCCCTGATTCTTCATGCCTTTGCTTCACACCCTTTGCCTTGTGGCTCTGCTGTTCTTCTGGCTAGAGTAGGCAGAGTATATATTCCCTACTCCCGTTGATATTGGGCACAAGTCACCAGCCAAGGCCCTAGGAGGCACCTCATGTTTCCACCAGTCCTCTAGCATTCCAATGATCCATCATGAGAAGAACATTCCCCGGGTAGCCACAGGGTCCAAGGAAAATGAGCAAACCTATGGAGTAGACATGAAACCCACCCACAGCCTGAACCAAACATAATCATGCTGTAGCGGGAAGGAGAACTGCTCGGTCGGTCAGTGCCTGCTAAGAGGACTCAAACCACAGTCAACCTGTAGATATGTGAGCAGGAGGATAAATTCTTGTGATTCTAAACCACTGAGTTTAAGGATGGTTTGTTAGGCAGTTTCCTGAGGTAATGGCTGACTGATACAGTTACTGGGCTGAAACCCCACTCCCTATTCCCCTCTGATTGGAGCACATTTTTCCCTCTAAAGAGATCTAGCAATGCTGTGGGGTTCTGAGTCTACTCACCATCCACACCATCATGTAGGAGAAGGCTGCAATCCATAACGTGGAGGAAGCAAATGTCACCATGAACCACTTTTCCCAGCGCGGCTTGTTGCAGTTGGGTACCGTGAAGTATAAGACAAAACTCAGTGGCCAGGTGAATGCCCACTTCACTGTTTCCAGTTTCCCAGCTGGGAAAATAAAAAAGGCAGAAAGCACATTAGTTAGCTTCCTCTCTCTGTTTTACCAGCCCTCCATGCTGCTTGCCCCTGACATTTACAGCCTAATTGATGGCCTGGGAAATAAGCCTTATCACGTGTTCTTTACATAAAAGACACAAATGGCTTTCCACCAGCCATGAAACCTGACGTTCAAAACCCAGTCGAAAAAAAAAAAAAAGGTATCCACTGCTCACCTGCTAGTTAGGCACCCAAATGAGAGATATGTCACTTCTGAGCACACAGGGCTGGGAGGATGGTTTGGCAAATGGGGCCAGGTGGGAAAGGATGAGGATGATTCTCAGACACAAAGGGAGAGGAGTGTGTGGGGGTGGGGTGAAGGTGGGGGAGGGGAGCTAGGCAGACCACCAGTCTGCCTGGGGTCTCCTCTCCCCATGATTAGATAACACAATCTTACAATATTATAAAGTGTCAGTGGTCACAGCGCCATCTAGTGGAATTGCTCAATATTGTCTGTCAACTCACTGAAATCTTGAAAGATGGTTTGAAAGCTCTCAAAGTTGTCAAAACACTGCTTGGGGGTATCTCAAGCTGATATGAATTTGCAAATTAGTCATTGATTTCTGGCTTTCTAAATACCTGCTTTCAGGGATGAGGTGATGGATTGGCCAGTGATGACCTAATCCTATTATCTCTGTGTTGTCTGAGCTCTGTGTTTCAGGCATACCCATAAATGCTTATTTTGGTGACTCTATTTCCATGAGTTCCTTGTCGTCTCAGGTTTGACAACCATATCAGGTCTCATTTGGCCTTTATTACAATCCTGCTTAAGGGCTAATACCTCTGGTAAGAAATGCATTGTATATACTCCCTGCTCCAATGGAGATAAAAGAACATTTCCACCTTCCAGAAAGTTCCCTGAGTCTCTTTCCAGTCAATCCTCCACCCTCTGCCACCATAGATTAGTTTTTCCTGTTGTCCACCTTCAAATAAAGAAAATCACATGGTGCATGATTTTAGTCAACATGTTTTTTGAGATTCATTCGTGTGTCAGGAATTCATTCCGCTTAGATTGCTGTATAGTCTTATTATACACAACTTATTATCCATCCTCCTGTGGATGGGACTTTGGGGTTGTTGCCAGTTTTGAAGTATTACAACTAACGTGGCCATGAGCATTCCTGTATACTTTTTTTGGTGGGCATGTTTTTATCTCTTTGGTTGAAGACCCAGGAGTAGAACTGCTGAGTCACAGGGTGGGTGTTTTTTCTAACTTTGTTAGGAAACTGTTGAGAAGTCTTCCAAAAATGATCGTCCCATTTTATACTCCCACCAGAGTTAAGGAGGTATTTTTAAAATGACACTTTGAACAGTGATTAATAAACTGCTAAATGAAATTTATTTCATAATTTTATAGCGGTATCCAGCACTTTCCCAGTTCGCTGCTACAAGATGGGAACAAATGCCACAGACACCAGGGACTGTTTGGCTGGATTTCAAAGCAAGAAAGCTGTCGGGGGATTTTTGTGAGCATTTTTACAAATGCTGTAGAATCCAGAACATAGTCAGACCCTTGGATCCCAAAGGCATCCTGGAGTCCTGCGTGCTGCTAAATCCTGTGATGTAGGGATGTCAGTTACGCATCTCGGGCTCTGGGGACCCCCTCACTGGCCTTCCAGTCTTCCTGAGGCCCCTGCACAGACAGACTTGTCCAATTTAAATACACACACCCCATCAAAGTTATAAAGATATACACCAATGGGAAGGGGAATGACTGCCATCTGGCTCTTTGTCATCCTTCAGAAATTCTTCAGAAAATTAAACAAACAAAAAAAGAAATCGGAACTTATGACTGCAGGAGCTTAGAAAATGATATTAAGTAAAGCTGGAAGCAGTACATGTTAGGATCAATGAATTTTGAGTTTTCTTCTCTCAGCTGCTTTAGAAAGTTCTGACTTGACTCTGGTTAGGGCCTTATATCTAGAAAAGAGTCTTCTGTTTCATGATATAGATGCTTTCTGCGAGTTATGGCTCCACTGCAACAACAAACATACAGCAGAAATTCAATCAGTATGAGGAACCTGGGTGGCTCAGTCGGTTAAGCATCCGACTTCTGCTCAGGTCATGATCTTGTGGTTTGTGAGTTCGAGCCCTGCGTCGGGCTCTGTGCTGACAGCTCAGAGCCTGGAGCCTGCTTCGGATTCTGTGTCTCCCTCTCTCTCTGCCCCATCCACCACTCACGTTCTCTCTCTGTCTCTCAAAAATGAATAAACATTAAAAAAATTTTTTAAAATTCAATCAGTATAATCTGGAATGTAATGTAACAAATACAGCTCCTTCAGCAAACCAAGTGATACAGAAATGTGCTTTTTAAGTGATTTTGAGGAACTGCAGCAGCAAATAAGGAACATTCCTATATTTTGGTGTGTTCTTTTTCCTGTGGAAGTGTGTTTACCTACATTCACATATAAACGTTTCTATTTCTGTTAGTCAATGGTAAGGCTTTCTTCATGCAAGGATAAGAATATATGTTCAACTTATACTCTGCATAGGTGTATATGATTTACATATATGCCATATGAATTTAACCTCTATGTATATTATATGCACATATAAACACAGTGATGCATGTGCATATTTTAGCTAGCTTAAGTTTCCATTTCTAAATAAATAGGTAAAAATGGTTTCCTTTCCTCTCTGAGTCAACAGTATTTCTGGATATTTCCCCATCTTTTCTTCCATTGCTATGTGATCCAAAGAGAGTGCCCTGGGGACAGGTTTATTCCTTTATTTAACGAATATTCATTGAATGCTCCTCTGCCAGTGTGCACCAGGTGCTGCTTCAGGTTTTAAGGATACAGCCATGAATGAAGAAAACAAAACTCTCTGTGCATGAACCCGATGTACCAGTGATCATGTGATTTCTCGGAAGTCAGCCAGCAACTGAGAGATGAAGCCAGGGGACATGAAGCGGGGACTCTGAGCATTACAGTATCCCTTTGAGTGTGACTTGCCTCTAAAAAGCAAAGGACCTGTTCTTAAGTTATACTCCTTATTGAGTTTTTAAAGAAGCTTAATTCTATTGAGAAGAAAAAGTCATTGCTCATTATCATAGGCCTAGATTAAATATATCAATTTGTTCTAACTATACAGGCAATAAAAATGTTTTAGAATGGAAAATCTAGAAAAATTTAAACAATAATTCCACCTAGGATAAACATACTCATATTTCGGCATACTTCTATTCAGTCTTTTTTTCTGTGGAAGTATGTTTGCCTATGTAAACATTGCTATTTCTGACAGTCAATAGTAAGAATTTCTTCATGCAACAGATAGGAATATATGTGCAATTTACACGTATATATATGCACATACATATATACTGTGCATAGGTGTATATAAAAACATACATACGATATGAGCTTAGCCTATACACATATTATACGCACATATAAAAACAGGTATGTTAATATCTGTGCATATATCATATAAGTATAAAACAGTATACAAATGTATATGTTTGTTAGACGTATACATTATATCAACATGTGCACACTGAACATATATGCACATGCTTATATTCATGCATGCCCATGCATGTGCACATATATGCATATACAATGTATGTGTGCACATGTACATACATCATAGATATGCCTGTATTTACATACTTCTACATAATTTCTCATTTTTTTTAAAAAGTTTACTTATTATTGAGAGACACAGAGACACAGAACATGAGCAGGGGAGGAGCAGAGAGAGGGGGAGACACAGAACCTAAAGCAAGTTCCAGGCTCTGAGCTGTCAGCACAGAGCCCGACACGGGGCTTGAACCCACAAACTGTGAGATCATGACCTGAGCCGAAGTCAGTTGTCTAACCAACTGAGCCACCCAGGTGCCCCTCTACATAATTTCTTAAATACTAATTATACTCATTATAATCAAATTCTGGAGAGAAGAAAGCCCTACAGCTGTGACAGGAACAAAGACAGCCCATGACCCTGCAAGATTACAGTGAGAAGGAGAAATGTCCTCATTGTGTGGCCAGACCTTTTTCAGGCCAAAGGAACTTAGTGCAGAGGAACTGGATGTTCCTAGACTGAGTCCTCCCAGCTCCTCGAGTGGCCTCTGTTGGCCACTGCTTGAAGGGGTCTCCCTGCCCAAGGAAGGGCCTGCTGGACACTCAGATCAAAGTTCGTGAGTCCGGGAATGGGGTTTGGCCTCAGTTGGTGGAAAGGGACAGAGGATCATAATTGGACGAACCCACTCTCTGTTTCAAAGGCAGAACCTGGCTCTGAATGAGGCTCCCCTAAGGCTTAGGGGAGCTGTAAAGATCAGCCATGTGAGGGTGCCACTCCCTCACTGGCTCAGGTGTGGCCCACAGACAAGCGGCACCAGTGTCACCTGGGGGCTTGTTATAAATGCAGAATCTTGGGCCTCCCACCAGACCTTCGGAATCAGAGCCATTTTATCAAGGATGCCCAAGGTGAAGACCTTGGATTCCATTTCATGTCTTGGTAGCTCGGGCAGGGCGGGGGGAGGGGTGGGACCGGGGGGGGGCGGTGGGTAGGAAGGCCCAGGAATGAAGCAGAGATCCTGAGGAGTGGCAGGACCACGCAGAGCATCCTTTCTCCTCTCATGCCTGTGCTTCCAAAGGATGTGGAGGCCCCGAAGTGGGCTTCCTGAGCCCTTGTCTACAGCCACATCTCTTAATGTACGCAAGATGGATGATGTAGCTGGAAGCCCCAGGCCTCCTCATCTGCAACTAACCTGAGACGAGAAGGGAAGGTGAGCAACAGTTACAAGGTACCTTGAAACCTCAAGGGCTGGCCTGGCATTTATCCCATTCAGGTTAGAAACACAAACAAGTGATCCGAAGGGGGCCCCTTTGTCCTACTAAGTAACGAGGCTCAGTTGTGGAAGCCAGACATCTGGTGTCACACATGTATCTTTAGTGTGAGATAGAGGGGTGTACTTGGGGCTTCTGGGAGGCCGACATGGCCCCTTATAGAGCATTAATCAGTGAAAGACTTTAGCAAAACAGTTATTTTTAGAGCTTGGTTGTGGGCTGCCAGTGGTGAACTCTGAAAGCAAAGGCCAGGCTAGACAGAATTTGAGATGCAGGCCCCCAAGAGTCTATGCCCTGACTCTCAGAACCTGTGAAGGGGGGCTGAGCTACCAGTTCCATGATTATGCTATGCTATGTAGCAGAGCTGACCTCCTGACGGGGAGGTTATACAGTTGGGCCTGATCTAGGCCCCTCAAAATCTGAAGGGGAGGGCCAAGATATTAGAAGCGTGAGAAGCACCCAAAGCACCATTGCTAATTTGAAGAACACAGGCTTTCAAGGGCAGTGGGCAACCCCCAGCTGACAGCCAGCAAGGAAAGAGGACAGCCTTACAACCACAAGGAACCAGATTTTGCCAACAGTCTGGCTGTGTCTGGGAACAATTGTCCCCAGGGCTTCTGGGAAGGACTAAGTCCCGTCTGCACCTCTAATATGGCCTTTGGAGCCTCTGAAACCCAGCCACACTGTTTTAAGCCACTAAATTTGTGGTGATATGCAGCAATAGAAAATGGACATAAAAGTTCATAAGGGAGAAATAGAGGGGACTGGTCACTTCATCCTTAAAATGCTTTTGTACTGGCTGATAGGGAAGAAGGTTGCCAAGAAATATAGCCAAAGGTGGCAAAATGGGTAATGAGCCAGTATACTTTTTTTCAGTCAAGATAACCTTCTAACAAGTAATGATTTAACTCTGGCTGGGCAGTTGGGGACTTTGGGATATAGGATCTGAGTGAACAGTGTCTAGTTAATTTTGGTAAACATTTGATGAGGCTGAGATCTGAGGAGCCCTGAGGGGGCACAGGAGGGCAGCTCTGGTCCAAGTTCAACTTGATGTCCCCTCACATCTGAAAATAACACAGAACTCTGAGACTCCACACCCACATGCTACCATTAAATGGCCTTTCAAGTGGGTCAAGCAATACTTCCAGAATTCAGTCCTCCTGGAAATTCAAACATCCTGGAGAAGTTGCACACATTAATTAAGCCTCACAGATTTGACCAGGGCACTCTTTCCTAAAGCAGCCAGAAGTTTCTGGAATGTCTGGCAAATAGGTAGAATTCTTTGGGCTTGGTCCACTCATTCCAATAATGGGTGGGGTAGGAGGACAAGGTCTCTGGAATAGCCAAGTCATTGTTGGGTAGCAGTCAGGAGAGGACAACTGCCTTGGTGGCTGGGGTCCTGAAAACTATACATGCCTTGCCCCTCCCCTTCAAGGTACCAGGGAGGTTCCCGCTACCAGTGTGACTGTATGAGATTCAGCTGGGGATGGGATGCTTTTGCTAGGTCTGTATCTTGGTGGTATTTTAGGTCATGGGAAAGGAGAAACCTGCAGGGGGGTGGGTGAGGGGTAGGAAATGAGCAGAAGAACAAAAGCCAACTGGGAAGGCTGCACATGCTCCCCTAGACTGGCCTTGGCAGGACAGCTCCCCCAGCCAAATGTAACGGGATGGGTGAAAGTGGGTGAAGAGCTTCTTCCCTTGAGCACCAAGCTGTCTCCCCAACATGGGTTGTGAGAATTTCCTCCTTAGCACCAAAAGGTCCCACAGAGCAGCTAAGAGAAGATCTTTCTCCATGAAGTGTCGACAAATTTTGCATTTTGTCAAAGAACCCACATTTCAGCTAATGATCATGTGTCACCATCTTGTTCATCTCTGAACCCTCTAAAACAGAGTCTTGCCCATGGTAGAAGTTAATATAAATATTTCTATATTCATGTATAGAGACAGTTCTTTGAATTGGATGGCAAAAAGATCATCAAAGTCAAGGACATGTACTCAGTGCCCAAAAATAGCTCCCGATCCCAGCCCCACATAGGTCCTCTTACAGGGGAGGTCGAATGGTGTGTATGGTCCTTCATCATCATCTTCATCCTCCTCTTCCTCTTCATCATTCTCGTTGTTGTCATTGTCCTCATTCTCATTCTCTGTCTCGTTACCAGCCTCAGCAACAACATCATCCCTCCGAGTCCCATTCACACCTCTGTCTGGGCCACTGCTGGGCCCTGTCCCATTCTCCACGGTGTGCTTAATTGGGATTTTGATGGCCACCTCAGATTCTCCATTGGCGTAGGCCCTACTATTTATGAGTCTTTGCCTCTGGAAAGAGAAAGTCACATTCTTACCACAGTCATAGGGACTGTAGATCCTTACAACTAGGACACCAGCTATTAGGACCTTTTTTAGGCTGTGACAGGGAGATGCTTCCAGAAGACTCTTCAGTGAAGTCTTCAGGGATTCTTCAAAGTAATAAGCAACTCAGACAACCTCCTTCTGGGAGGAAGGATTCATATGTTATGACCCACAGGAGTTTGCAAATCCCTTTAGAGAAAATATCCTATTTCTCCAATGTGCCCTTCATTTCTGTCAGCGTTCTCAATTCCCTGGGCACTGCACTATTATCTTTCTTCTTTGGACTGTAGGAATCACTTGGTCCATATATGAGAAAGCCACAAAAATGTGTCTGGACTAGTGTATCAATATGGCTGCCACTCCAGAGAAAGGGTTACACAGGAGAATTCAGGTCAGAGACTTTACTTTAAAGTAAAGCAACCTTGAGTTAGCAACTGCTTCTGTGCAAGTTCACATCAAAGGGTTCTACCCATATGAAAGATGAAAAGAAAAAGGTAGGTAGAGGGGATAAGAAAGTTTTTCTATATGACTGGGAGCCTGATCATATCTTTCAACACGTGGACACGTGGAGAGAAGAGCAAGAAATAGGATGTACAGCTGGCTCCATCAGCAAAGATGTTGGGAAATATCTGAGGAATATTATTGTGTTCAATGTTGAGTTTGGTATTTCTGTTTTCAGACCAAGAAATGTCCTCCCCTTCCCAAAGTCTCCCACCCTGCTCAGAGGCTAACGCAGTGTTTCCCAGATACCTCATTGATCAACATGCGACTGGCCATGGAGAGCCGGGTCTTGGGGGGGAAGTGGCTGGTGATCATGATTCGAAGTCCAGCCTCAGAGAAAGAAAGCTGGTGAGGGTAGGCTGACAGCAGCTCATCTACCATGATCACTGACGCTTTGCGGTGGAAATTGGCTAGGGAAATTAAAAACACAAAGTAAAGAAAACATTGAGGCTAGGAGCAGGAAGGAGATATTAATTTAGACTTCTTTCCCTTCCTTTCCTCCCCTTTCCTCCCCTCCTCCTCCCTCCCTCCTATCTACTCATTTATCCATCCATCCATCCATCCATCCTCTCATCCACCCCTCTATCCTTCCTTTATCTACCCAATCGTCCATTTATCCATCCATCCATCTACCCACCTGCCCATCCTCCCATCTACCTTTCCTCCCTCCCTCCCTCCCTCCCTCCCTTCCTTCCTTCCTTTTTTCCTTCCTTGCATCCATCCAACCATCCAACCACCTGGCCATCTATCCAAGGAAGGCTGTAGTGGGCAAAATTTAGAGAAGAGTCAAACTCTTCTTTCCATAAGGCTCATTGATATAGCTTATTTGAAATGTCTTGAAACAATTTAAGCATCATTCATTGGCACAGTAAGAATGAGTGATAACCTAAGAGAGTTCTTCTGTGTCTTCAAAGGATTTTTTTCCCTGGGCACAGGAAAGATCCCAATAATATTTAGTAACCCTTTCTGCCTTTCAAATGTCAACAGTGTTCAATGTTCTGAGCTGTTAAAAGCTGCAGAACTGACTTTAATGTCTAGTGGAGGGCTTAGTGGAGAAACACGAACACTGCTGTAGCCCAGTCTATGAGTAGGGCTGACAAACAGGCGTAGGTGGCTGAGCTGGCCACATTACAGAGGCCCAAGGTCCAGTGGGACCCAAATTGGTGCACAAGATTTGCTGACAGGCCTGATAAAAAAGTTTCACCAAGGCCCAAGTTCCCTCTCCATGAACGTGCAATCCGAGCACACAGCTCACAGGTACCTGGACGTACACCCTCCTGGTCCTCACTCCTGTTTTCCAAGCCACTAAACCATCAAATGATCTCTGGAAACACTGACTAATAGGAGGTATCTCTTTTTGGTTCCCTAAGAGTATTCCTTTTATGGTTAAAAACTCTCCAGAAGAGATTAAATTCTGATGTGGGATGGCACGGAATACTCTAAAGTCTTTGGTTAAGCATAAGCAGAGAAGTGTGTCACATAATTGATTTTCAAATTCAAATAATTACCCACAGATTTCAAACTCAGACATATATTTGAAAATAACATAGATTTTCTAATTTCTTTTTTGTTTTTCCTACAAAGCAACCATATGGGACCAAGCAGAAATAAACCCACACATTTTTGGAGGAAGTTAAAAGAAATTAAATGAAAAACAAAACACATTCTAAGGCAAATGTAAATGACAATTTTCTATATTCCTCTAAGAAAGAATATTATTAGGGAGCACTATCTTAGTTCTTTTAGTATATCAACTGCTTAATGAGAATGAGAATCTATTGACTACAAAAATTACTTTGTAAAAAAAGGGGGAGGGAGTAATTTACCATGTCATTTTTCAGCTTGGAAACTGAGGTAATGTGGACTGAAAGTGAATTTGGATATAGTAATACACTAACAACAATTATCGCAAATGGAATATTTTACATATTTTATCTCCTCTACTCGTTAAAAGGTTATCCCCATTTGGGAGAAGAGAAAATCGAGGCCCACTTGCTTCATGGTTATACAGCCAATTTGTGACAGTCAATACCTCAAACCACCCTCTCTCCCCAGTCTTCTCTCCTATATGGTCCTGTCCTAATTCTCCCTCCCCCTTGTCACTCCCAGCAAATGTTTTGCTCAAGAACTTCAGGAAACTTTCCCAGGCAGCTCATCACCAGGTATGACTGCCCCAGGATGTAGCCAAAGGGAGGCGGGGGGGGGGGGGGGGACGGGGACCAGACCCTTCTCTCCTTTGGTCTGCTCTGGGACAGGCAGCATCCGGCCAACCCAGCCATGGCGCCCCAGGCAGCCTCCCAGTGCTCCTTCCTTGGACCCAGGCTCCACGCGGTTACCTTTCTTGAGTAGCACCACAGTTGCGTCACAATTGCTGCTGTCATCGATTTCTGCATTGTTGGCTAAGCCGTTGACCATGTTTCCAGTACCTTTCGTTCTCCTTTCGAAGCACTGATGGATGCAAGCGTTATATCTGAACAAAGTAATGAGCAGAAGGAGTCTGTCAGCATTTGCTGCTGCCCCATTTCCCATCCCCCATCCAGTGTTGTGCGCAGCTCCCAGTCTAGGTGTGTTATTGTCATTGTTATTATTTTGTCTTCCCGTTTTCCCTGCAGAAAATGCACCCTGTCCTATTTTCCAATTTAAGGATCTATGGTAAACGAAAATAAAACCAACATTACATAAATAAATAGAGACCCACTGCTTTCTTTGCAGCCTCTTCAAGGTCAATGGAGGCACCCCAGGATTGAGGTCCCCTGCTTGCAGTCTGTGTGTGGAAGGGTCGCCATGAGGCTCAGTGGGATGGGCAAGGTCTACCTTCTTTTGGCCGTGTCTCCAGGACCCACTGCTGCAGGGACCTGCTCAGTGGGGGGGAAGGAGGAAGGAGCAGGTGTCACATCCACGCTGCTACCCAGTGTGTCACAGGCTGGCTGGCACTCTAGGTCTCTGTCTGTGTTTGGTTTTCTAAAATCACAGGTTGGGATCCTGTGAATCCTGTGATCCTTGTTAATGCTGTATTAGGGCGCCTGGGTGGCTCAGTCGGTTAAGCATCCGATTTTGGCTCAGGTCATAATCTCATGGTTTGTGAGTTCAAGCCCCACCTTAGGCTCTGTGCGGACCGCTCAGAGCCTGGAGCCCGCTTCGGATTCTGTGTCTCCCTCTCTCACTTCCCCTCCCCTGCTCACTCTCTGCCCCCCCCTCAAAAATAAATAAACATAAAAAAAAAATTTAATGCTGTGCTATAATTCCAGGTCTGATGGGCTGCTGGCTTCATGGAAAAAATTCTGGGCTATGATCCTTAGAATGACTGAGTGAAAACATTGTGCAGTTCATCTTACATGTGTGTTAAAAAAGGAAGAAGCTTATTCAAATTCCTAGCACGTTTTTGGCAGGTAAATGTTCTGGTCCCTTTATCTTTAGTATTAGAAGACCTCACCCCCCTTACCAAAGAGGAATCCTAGAAAACTCTTGGGGAAAGGGAGGGGGCATTGTTCCCAGGGTGTTGTAGGCCACTGCTGCTTTTTGCCCCGCTCGAAGACCTAAAGGCCTTGGTGGCTTATTGGCCATGGGACAACCCACTGAGGTGTCTCTCCAGCTTGATCTCTGGCCTCCCAGAGGAACTGCAGCCAGGCATGGCAACTTTAAATTGCCAGCTGGCAGGCCACTCAAGCTGTATTTCCTCACACAAGCTTCTCTCCCATACCCTTTTTGCTGCTGCAGACAGGAGGCTCTGTGGAATACTCTTCGCTGAACCTATGCTTCAGTCAGAGCAGCACTGGGTGGCTGGGCCCACTGGGATATGACAGCTATCGTGGAATAGATGGAGGGACCCTCTGTGGCTGGACAGCCCCTTCCTGTACTCCCTGGGAGTTGCGGTTCACCCTCCATTGTGTGAGGGAGAGAACATAAAACTAGTCAAAGGTAATGGTGGTTTCTGTGAAAAGGGAACCGGGCAGGCCAATCCTAGAGCACTCTTTATAAGAGGTGGAGAACAGAACCAGAACATCACTATTTTGCAAACCTAAAGAAATGATGGAGCCAGATCCTGAGCATCAGTGGCTGCCAAAACCACAGACAGGAGACATCAATGTGCCTGTTGATGGCAGAATTCACCACCACTTGGGACACAGTCTACCTTGAACTGGATTGATGGCTGGCATACACGAAACACAGAGGTCAGAAGAACAGGATGCACCATAGTCCCGGATGTAACCAACAACTTCCAAACTGCAGGAGACTGTGTACTAATAATACAACTTTGTTGAAGAATAAATTGCAAGGAAAAAAAAAAAAACAGATGGGGGATTTGTAGATTAAAAGTTGGAGCAACTCGGGGCACCTGGGTGGCTCAGTTGATTAAGCACTTGATTTGGGCTCAGGTCATGATCTTGTGGTTTGTGAGTTTGAGCCCCGCATCAGGCTCTGTGCTGACAGCTCAGAGCCTGGAGCCTGCTTCAGATTCTGTGTCTCCCCCTCTCTCTGCCCCTCCCATGCTTATGCTCTGTCTCTCTCTGTCTCTAATAAATGAACATTAAAAAAAATTAAAAAGAAAAAAAGGGGCACGTGGGTGGCTCAGTTGATTGGGCGGTCGACTTCACCTCAGGTCATGATCTCATGATCTGTGAATTCGAGCCTTGTGTCTGGCTCTGTGCTGACAGCTCGGAGCCTGGAGCCTGCTTCAGATTCTGTGTCTCCCTCTCTCTCTGCCCCTCCCCTGTGCATACTCTATTTCTCTCTCTCTTTCTCTTTCTCTCTCTCTCTCTCAAAAAAAAAAAATAAACATCAAAAAAAAAATTTTAAGTTGAAACAACCAATTATAACAAGTGACATTTATTTGGATTCTGATTTTAAAAAGATTTATGAGATTAAAAGAAAAATGTAAGAAATAACATTCATGAGATCATTAAAAGTTTGAACACAGATTTGGTATTAAATACACTAAAGAAGTAGCACACACTTTCGGGTCTGATAATGACACGGTGGTTGTGTGAAAAGTGAGTCCTTTTAGAGATGTGTACTGAAATTTTTACAGATGAACTGGTATGCTGTCTGGGGCTTCAAATCATGTGGAGGGAAGGAAATGGATAGGGGTGTGGGCTGCTGGCCATCAGGGCTGGTGATGAGCATGGGGAGTTTGTTATACTATTCTGTTGGCTTTTGTAAATATTCAGAGTCTTCTTAATGAAAAGGTCTTCCCACTTTCTAAACTCAAGAAGAATATCTTGTCCTACTGATAGAGCTATGGGGGGAGAGGCAGTATTTCTGTCATCTTGACTCAGAATCCATAGATATACCAACTTGCAGTGCAACTGTATGTTAACACATTTATTTGGATTTGGATAACAAGGTAATAACGCTACATGTAGTATTGTTACGAGAGCTTTCCTGGAACCAGATATCGGTTAATAAATTAACTATGCTGTCACATTTCATCCTTACAAACAACCTTTGTGGTAGGAGGCATTATGAATCCTGTTTTGGAAGAGAAGAAACAGATTCAAGATGGCTGAATGACTTGGCCGAGGTCTTACTGCTGTGACCAGACAGAGCTGAACGTGACACCCTTGTTCTCAACCACCAAACTACACTGCCTCACCTGGGGGCCAAATCCCCAAAAGGAACCCAGATATACAGAAATCAGTCCTCACTAAGGCCAAGTATGTCTCATGCTCCCTTAAGATCTTTGTCTACTTGGCCAAACTAAAATTGCTTTTTGACCTTCACACAGAATTTTTAAAGTCATCCACCCAGGAGGCAGCTGACAACTCTAATATATGCTGTTTTTAACTGATGCTACTCAGTTTTATATTTTTAATTGAATGTTTTACATTTTGTGCCTTCACCCTGAAGCTATTTTATTGTGGAGCGTGCAATTTTATAAATCAGATTTTATAAAACCTAATGATTAAAGCCTCTGATTGTGGATGGGGATGGCTAAAGAGCAGAGATTTCAATTTAGAATTTGGGACCAGAATTTATGCAGAAAATTCTGTGAGCACAGTAGCTGCCATTCCCCATTTTATTTGTATCCTGCTGGTTTGAGCAGCTGGAAGGTTGGTAAAGTTGAGGCATCAGCAGAAACACACCTCATTAGCTTTCACACTGGGCATAGTTTGGGGCCGAGGAGAGAAATTGTTCACAGTGTTATCTTAATGTACACAAGCCCTGCCAGCAACTCATGGGCTTTACGATGGTTCAGTAGAGGGGTGCAGTGGTCACACTATGCATGCTAGCAAAATTCCTCAACCTTCCTTCCCTTTAGACCTGCTCTGCTGTGAGCCTTCCTTATTCTGTGAAGCCCCTAGTGAATGCACAATGGGACAAACTGTCATCTAAATTCAGATTCAAAACCCAAGATCAACGTTGGGCACAGAGTAGTAACTCAGTCAATTCTTCTGGAATAACTGACTGATTCACCTTTTCAAAGGGGAAGAAAAGGACGCTTGACTCTTTGGGAACTCGAACTTAGAGCCTCAAAAAGTTAAAAAAAAAAAAAGGCAGTGAAATAATCAATTTAAAAAACACTGAAGAAGATGTGTGCATTATTGAGGCCTCCTCATAGTGGCCCTGATTCCCTAATGGTTTTGCTATTTAAGAGAAAGAGGAGCAAGATTCTTTCAAAGACTTTTCTTCTGAGGTCTAGAAACTCTGGAAGGCCTGTGGGCCAACTCTGGTTTTTGGGGGAGCCCATTTAATCGGTATTTTTAAATGGAAGGTGATGAGTCGTAAAAGCACCTGATTCTTTGTCAGTTACCCCATGGTAACTCCATACCAGGATACACTAGAAATATGCTCTTCTAGTAACAAGACCCGGGTATCAGGACAGCTCCAGAGGTGAAGGCTGGACGCCATATTGAGTGGACTGACGGCAGATCGCTTACAGCCCACACTGAACATCAGCTAAGCCTGTTCGTACCTTTACTCTTAATGTGACGTTTGCCAATGGCCAGACTGATTTCTCCAAACACATCTCTCAGACACTAGTGGCCAGAATTAATTTTTGTCAGACCTCAACAGGAAAGACAACTTGGCAGGTCAAATTCTAGACTGCTACCTGATGTGTCCAAACTGGAAATTTCTGAACGTGTTCTACTTTCATGCCCCCTGAGAAGTAGCCACATATGCTGGGGGAAGTATGGGTTAATTTAGAATGAAAGAAACAGTTCCCAGGGGGTCCAGCAGCTGCAGCATGAAGTGTCTCTGCATTATTTATAAACTCCTCATCTCAATGGTACTTGGCAAAAAGATGAACCAGCAGGTTCACAGCTTTACCTTAGAGTAAGGGAAACACCAGCAATTTAATTCTTTTTTTTTTTTTTTAATTTTTTTTTTTTTCAACGTTTATTTATTTTTGGGACAGAGAGAGACAGAGCATGAATGGGGGAGGGGCAGAGAGAGAGGGACCAGCAATTTAATTCTTGATACAAAGAGTAAGCCACCCAAACTCCAGGGAAAAAAGAACGTATGAAGTGGTGGTTTTAAAATACATCTGCAAATTCTTTGACGCTCCTCCTTTTAAAAGGTGAAGCAGATCCCTTGAGTGTGGGCTAGACTTACTTCTAATAAATAGAATATGGCAGAAGTGACAGTGTATGACTAGTGAGACCAGATTATAAAAGGCACTGGGGCCCTTCTAGCTCTCTCTCTTGACTCACCTGTTCCCTTGTTGTGGAGACACTCAACCAACCCCAAGGAGAGGCCTATGTGTTGAGAAACAGAGGACTCCAGCCAACAGACAGTATCAGCTCGCCAATACTGCAAGGGCGCCATTTTGCATTCCCAGTTAAGTAGGTGATGGCCACCCCAGCCAACCTCTTAACTGCAATCTCAAGGAAAACCCTGATCTAGAACTCCCAAGTTAAGTGCTCCTGGACACCTAACTCAGAAGTTGTAATGAGATAACACATCCTTCTAGTTTTAAGCCACTACATTTTGGGGTCATTTATTACCCAGCAATAGATGACTAATACAATATGAATAATGGAAATCTGTAGATTTTTGATCCATGGTTTTACTCATCTCTTAATTAGCTCTGGTCCCATCTTCATCACCCTATATAGAAGCATAACATAGTGCGTTTTACCTCCTTTCTTGTTATGAAAGAGAGTTTAAAGCATCCCAAAGAGCCAAAAGCTAGGTTGCCAGGTCTTAAAGAGGGTGCAAGGGTTTGTCAGATCTCTCAAGTTAAACACTAAAAGCTTTGATTCCGTCATCACATGTGGGTTGGAAGAATCTTTGCTATTGTTACTAATCAAAACTGCAGTGATTCACAGCAGGTTGCTGAGGGGACCAATGAGTTTGTGACAGACTGCATTGAAAGCTGGTCAGCTAACTGCCCTCCCCTCTGTTTCCCTTTCCACATTATCCCATAATGCTAAATGTAGGAAACAGTTTTGGAAAAGAAAACCAAGAAGACATTTTACTTACTTCATGATGACGATGTAGACAAGATACATCAGCACAAGGACTAAAGACTCCCACCTGTGTAAAACCAAGAATGGTTTGTTAAAGGAAGTCACCACAGGCAGGCATGCAACACACCAGCCTGTCTCTGAAAATCCATGTGATGTCAATGGCAGTTAAACCAGGTGAGCAGGGCAAGGATGAAGTGAATGTGTGGACTGGCTACAAGTATTTCCTGGTCTGTAGACATTTCTCCATTGCATACAGCTTTCAATGCACTTTCTTTTCCTTCTCTACCTAAAAGGAAAATGCTCCTTCCCCTGTCATTCACTCACCCAGAAGAGTTCTGTGAGAGCAGCAAGTCTACCATAATATTGCTGAATATAGGCCTGTATTTATAAATCTGTGCACAGCTTAATCATTCACTAAAACTATTCAGACATATTTACAAAGGGCAAACTAAAGGAATTGATAGGGGGTGACAGAGGGATTGCTGGATACAGAGGAGTAAGGCAAAGAGAGAGAGAGAGAGAGAGGGAGACTGGGGGAGATATAATGGGAGAGGGAAGCGACAGGGGGAGGGAGAGAGAGAGAAGGGGGGAGAGAGAGAGGGAAAAGATAGAGGAAGGGGGAGGGGGACGCGAGGGAGCCGGCGGGATGGGCGCAGGAAAAGGGAAAGAGAAAAAACCTAGGCAGGGAAGATGTTAGCAGGAAGGATAAGAATGGACAAGTGGAAAACGGCCAAGAGAAAGAAAGAAAAAAATAATGAAACCTACTGGAATGTACCTTGAGCGTCCGATAATTTGAATACTCCTATTTTCTTCATTTTAGTAACTTTCCGTTAAAAAACTAGGGAATTTGATTTCTAGGTTCCCCTTTAGCTGTAGAATTGGGGGAGGCATTCTGGTTTCAAGAAGAGGTTACTGGAGAATGGTCTATGAAGAAATTCTAGGTCATGCCTTTCTTTCCAGTTTTTCTTTTCAAGCTCCATGTCTAAAAATTGACCCTCAGGGGTGCCTTGCTGGGATAGGAGGTTAAGCATACAACTCTTGGTTTCAGCTCAGGTCATGATCTCACAGTTTCATGAGATTGAGCCCTGCACTGGGCTCTGTGCTGGCAACATGGAGTATGCTTGGGATTCTGTCTCTTTCTCTCTCTCTGCCCCTCCCCCACTCATGCTGTCTCTCTTATAATAAATAAACAAAAAAAAAAAATTGACCCTCAGGAAATATGTGGTCAAGTGTAAAAAGGATGCACACACAAGGGTTTTTGTTGCCGTGGTGTTTATAAACACGCAATGCAGGTAAGAAGCAAGACAGTTACAAGATGGGAGCCTGGGTACCCATGTTAGGACACGTGCATCCACAGGGTGGGCTCCCATGCTTTCGTTCAGAATGATAATGCAAACGTGTGTGTATGTGGTATAGAAAGTGCTTTTGATGCTAGTAAGAGAAGAAATCAAGGGGTCTACACCTCTCCACCTTCTGGCACATTTCTGGGCTTCACTCTTAGTAAACCATCTCAAAGAATGCATACACTTCACTGCAGCACTGCACTTTCCCTTGGCAAATCCCTCTAATGTCCACATTCATCCATCTGTTGAAACACTTGTCCACAGCACCAGCGACCTCCATGTGCATGACTCCAGGGATGGTTCTCTGTCATCCTGTTCAATTTCCCTGCAGCATCTGAAGGCTGGGCACTTGCCCTCCTGCATACAGCACTCTCTTCTGACTTCCGAGAGGCCACGCTCCTGGTTTTCCTCCTGTCCTCTGAACTTCTCGTTCCCTCTGCCTCCTCCACTTCCCCAGCTGAACCTCTAAATAGGGGGCCCTCTTCTCTTTTTACCTACACGATCTCCCTAGGTGATGTCATCTGGTCCTCCTGACGTAAACACCAGCCCACACATCCACTCCACTCCTCTTCCTGGGGCTGTGATCATATATCACTGTCGATGTATGTCCCATGTGGTGTCTCAATGCACATCGGAACAGAATTCTTAATTCCTGCTTCCTGGCTTTGTGCTTCCCCAGGCTTTGCCATCTCAGCCAACTGTACCTCTCCCTGCCCAGTCAACCTCCAAGTCTGGAAATCAGTCTGGAGCCCTCCATTACCTTTGCCTCACATCCATCACAACCCTACATCCCAAATATTTCCTGAATTGTTGGATTCCATCCACCCTGCTGCTATTTGCTAGTCCACCTTAACTTCAGCCTCTGAACTGGTTTCTGCGAGGCTCCTGGGTCATGTCGTTCTTCTGTTTAAAGCTCTTCAACTTCTTTCCTACATAGTTAAGAAGAAAAAAACAAAAGCTGCCTCCCCATTCCCACCCCGCAAAACCAGTTCTTTTGTTTTTTAAATTGTTTGTGCCCCATCACACTGTGTCTGTGTTCCATCACACTGGTCTCCCTTCATTTGCACACGCCAAGTTCTTTCCTTCTGTCCAGAGCCTTTGCACTTACTGTTCCTTATGCCAGGAATACTTTTCCCTTTATTCCTTGGCTGGCCCCTTTGATCCTGCAAATGCCAGCTGAAATGCCACCTCCTCCAACAAGTCTTCCTGTCTACCCCTCCTTTGCTTTCTATCACATGACCTTGTGGATGTTTGCTAAACAGGTGACCAGTCTGTGATTTCCATGTTGATTTATTTATTCATTACCTATTTATATGTAATGCCTGTTTCTGGCAGTCACTTCATACCACTCCTCACATCTGACCCCCACCTCAGTTATCTGGTTTTTCATCTTCCAGAGACTTAGAGCCGACCCCCTGACAGCTGACTCCCCCAAGCACATACCTCTTCCCTCCCCAGCTGCCCACTATTCTCTTCTCAGCACACAGCAGTCCTCAGCTCATCTGTGCAGGGCGAGACTTCCTTTAAAACCCACTTTCAGTTTTAAAACACCTCCTGAACATGGTTCTTACCTCATTAAAACCAGTGTATTATGTGGCATAAAGTTAATTGGGAAGAATAAGATTTTATTCACAGCCTTCATTTTGAAGGAGGAGATACCTGAGATCAGAAGGGATGCCGTATAACAGCTTGGATGCATTTTAATAGACTCGGTGAGGGTCACCAGAAAACAGACCCATGTCAACGAAATATTTCAGCTAGGCTGAATGAAGTCCAATGCTTTGTAAACAGGTATATTTATACTCTAATTCCTTTAGACCTTTTTTTTTTTTTTCCTACTCAAAACAAGCCTTTCCATTGCAGTGTTCAAGTCAAGTTCTCTTCTGTTACGTATCAGGGATGCTTGTGAGATGGGGGTTCTCTGCTCCTGCTGACATTTCAGCTTGGGTTGGTCAGTGTCCAGACTCAGGGCTCACCCAATGCCTCCTCCATATGAAATACACCAGGCTCTCTAAGGCCTCTATGACATCCATCTGCTGTCCTCTCTGCTTTGGGGCCTGATGAAGAGTTCATTCTAGTTTAATGCATTCTAGTTTAATGCTTTTCAGAGTCCCAAGGCTCCCCACCTCCTGCCCTTGCCCCCTATCTCCAATGACCCTGTGATGACATGTCAACTGTCTCCCTTCTCTCTAGCCCAAGTTCTGTCTAGCCCAAGAGAGCCTCCAGGTCAGGGCTGAGTTTGGTTTTGTGTTCAATGTCTGGTTCTGGAACAGAACCTGGCATTCAGGAGGTGTTTAGGAAACAGTTGTGGAATTGGACAGAGCCCACATGCAGACCTCTAAGGCCACAAGGCTCTTGTCCCCTGGCTTCCCCCTGGGGACACTTCTCCATCTGCCTCTCCTGACTGCAGCCTATCCACTGTCCTCTGAGGACCTGGTCTTGTGGCATGATCTCGGTTTGTTTCTTCCTTTCCCACAAACTTCCAATTTGAACCGCCTTCAACTGGCCCCTGGTTCTCCTGCCAAAGATCATTCTTTCCTGTATTGGGAGGGTTATTCCCCGTTACTCCGTATTCTCACCCAGAGGATGAGGCCCTGCTTTCTTATGGTCCAGAACAGTGAGTGCTGGTCCCAAATGCTCCACATGTAGATATGCTCCAAGTCATGTCCCCTGGCTCTCCTTTCTCTCCCAAAGTTACAGCTTGAGGCTCAAAGAAGAAACAAGAATATCAACCTGAATCCTTTTGCTTTCTTATCAGGACTTCAGACTCTCATTCACTGAAGACATATTCCAAATTCCTTCTGGCAATATTGTGGGCCTCACTGAGCTGTCATTATGGATTCAGGTTGATACAATGCATCTTAACCGGTGGATCTCTGATACTTTCTATTTTAACTGTAATCTTTAGGGGTAGTTCTCTAACTGAGAAGCACCAAACATATGAAGAGCACCCTGCCTCTGGCTTGCTAATAGAACTATAGAACGCTACGAGTTGAGACAGCAAGTGGGGACTACTGGATCTGAAGGAGGGTGGTCCTACCTCCAGGATAAATAATGATTGGTCTAGGGGAGCCTGGGTGGCTCAGTTGATTAAGCGTCTGACTCTTGATTTTGGTTCAGGTCATGATCTCATGGTTTGGTTCTTGTGAGATTGAGCCCCAAGTTGGGCTCTGTGCTGACAGCTTGGAGTCTCTCCCGCAGGCATGTGCATGCGTCTCTCTCTCTCTCAAAAATAAATAAATAAAACATTTTAAGAAGTAATAATGATTAGTCTAGAGTTGTAATTCTATCCTGCCTGGCCACTTGTTGGTCAAGGTAGACCCAGTTGGGACCGAAGAGATGTAAGGTGGAAAAGAGTCTTCCTTCTTCCTTCTTCTTGCTGTCAGTCCGACCTGATGCCCGGAACTGCAATAGCCTTCTTGACCATTAGGAAAGGCCGAGAGAAATGCGGAGCCATCTCGTACCACCACCATCTGGGGCGCTTGTTATGCAAGAAAAATAAATCACCATTTCTTCAACACGCTTTAGCTGGCTTTCTGCTACTAAAAACCTTCTGCTTGCTACTTCTTGTCTGATTGTGACCTGCTGCAGACACTGAACCAGGAGCGGGAAAGCCGTGTACAACAGGGAAGCCTTGCCTTTGTGTATTTGTATTTGACAAGGCTCATAAAGAGTACTCTTGTTTCAGGGAGCCTGGGTGGCTCAGTCGGTTAAGCGTCTGACTTCAGCTCAGGACATGATCTCACGGTTCATGGCTCTGACCCCCGCGTCAGGCTCTGTGCTGATAGCTCAGAGCCTGGAGCCTGCTTCGGATTCTATGTCTCCCTCTCTCTCTGCCCCTCCCCTGCTCATGCTCTGTCTCTCTCATCTCTCAAAAATGAATAAACGTTAAGAAAAATTTAAAAAAAGGGTACTCGTTTCAAAATAAACACAACTGCAATGAGTTTCCTTTTGAGGATTTGGGATGAATTGGCTACCTCCCTTGAAATCGCTAGGACATGATGGAATGTTCTACAACAAGGAATGGAATTTATCATTTAGTAATACTGAAATATTATTGTGGTCTAATTTGTACAGGTTGAAGCAGCTGGCGTTAACTGAGAAATCAGAAATCAGCTCCTAGACACACCTTTTCAGCGAAGCCAATGCTTGTGTTTGGCTGGGTATGAAAAATACCCAGTATTTCTGGTGGACGGCGAAAAACACCTTAAAGTTCAATATACTTTATATTTAAACCAGGAGCTGAGATCCCTGGAAGTCTAGAAGCAGTTACGGGTCCGTGGTGTAGACTTCAATTTCTTAGCCTCACTTGTATGAAAAATGTCCTCTGTCAGCCCATCCACATAATAGCAGTCATTATGTAACAGGCGGCAGTCTGGGAATGATGCTCTGATGCCATGAGCTTCCTTGTTCTTCCCTGCAACTACTCCTGTGCACGAGTTATGATTCTATCCCAGCCCCGGCTGGAACAAAGCATGCTGGGAAATTTGCACCTCATTCATCCATGGCCTTCCTATCTCTTTACTCATGTGGGAGCATTGGTGCTGAAGCTGGGGATCTGAGGACCTCAGAATCTGGCTCTTTGGAGCAGGTCCAGGGTTCTAACCTCCTAACATCTGTAGGAGATTTGACCTTTGAATGCAGAGGAAATGGTCTCTCCCTTTCTTGCTCCATACCACCTGAAATATCCTAAAAGACACTTTAAAAAAGTGTTTATTTATTTTTGAGGGGAGGGGCAGAGAGAGAGGGAGAGATAGAGAATCCCAAGCAGGCTTCGTGCTGTCCATGCAGAGCCCAACACGGGGCTCGAACTCACAAATCACGAGATCATGACCTAAATGGAAATCAAGAGTTGAATGCTTAACTGACTGAGCCACCCAGGTACCCGTATCCTAGAAGACATTCTGAGGATAAGGACCGAAACTGGCTGGTCACAAAGCCTGCCTTTGCCAGCAAAACCAGGCAGGCGTAGAAAGAGAGCTCTACTTAAGAAAAACCAACAGGAAACCACCCATGGATATCCTTTCTTAAGGTTTCTGCACAGACAGAACACACACACACACACACACACACACACACACACAACAGCAGAAAAATTGCTGAGATCAACTGTGATCATAACTTGTCTGTATAGAAGCATTGTTAGCTAAGAGCAGCAACACTGAGCAACTCTTAAGCACCTACTGTTTGCTAAGGCAAAGTGGTGGTCATGCTAAATGTGCCATCAGTTTGAGAATATTTTTGCAAGTTTTCTTGTTCTGCACTTAAGGACATGGGGGGAAGAGGTCACCACTCTACTTGGCCACTACATCCAGGTGGATCCCATGAGGCGGTTCTCCCTTGCTTCTGACCTCTGACCTGAGACATCTTAATCCCAGTTAGCCTGCTCATCACAGTTTCCCAAAGAAGACCTCTTTATTTTTTATGGGTTGATATAAAGATTACGTGTCTTAAAACAAGTTTTCCTAGCTGTCTTTTCCTCGCCCCTCCTGAACAGATGAGAGGGAGAGTTGGCAAAAGTATACTTAAGACCCTGGCCTGATGAATAACATTTACCATCAATGAGACAAGTTCGTCTGCAACGCCCAAATTCTGAATATCAGAGATAGCCTAAGACAAAGAAATGTCACTCTGACAAAGGGCCAGTTGAAGGCTCATTTTGCTGAAGGCTCATTCTTAGCTTTAAATAATATCATGAGGGGTGCCTGGGTGGCTCAGTCAGTTAAGCATCTGACTTTGGCTCAGGTCATGATCTCGTGATTCATGAGTTTGAGCCCTGCATCAGGCTCTGTGCTGACAGCTCAGAGCCTGGAGCCTGCTTTGGATTCTGTCTCTCTCTCTCTCTCTCTCTCTCTGTCTGTCTCAAATACTAATAAACTTAAAAAAATAGTATCATGGAAATTGTTTACCTACCTTCCTACAGTGCCACACTTATCTATCCCTAAAATGCTATTTCACATTCCTCTATATCTACAGATCAAATGTTTGAAAAACATAACAGGAATGCACAACACACCCAATTTCTATTTCTATTCCAAACATATTTGACTTGTTTAGAACCCACCTGAAAAATGGGGATTTGGATAGTTGGCCCAAATGCACATGTTCCCATATATTTAATTTGGTTTAAGTTTTGTATCCATCAAAAAAAATCACTGATTTTTCATCGGCCTAAGATCATCTTGAATGTCAGGCAGAACTTTAGTGGGTCAAGGATAATGGAAGTGACTCCATCTCCATTTCCTAAGATTTACATGGTATTTGAATATGCCAATGTGGTTTGGACGCAATTTGAAAAGATTAGTCAAATCTTAACCACGACCTAGCAAATGGCTAACTGCAGAAAGGCACAGCTAAGTCATGCCACCTAACCTGGCTGATAAAGACAATGAAGTATCAGCATCCCCAATGGAAGGCCACCATCCCAGCCCAAGGGAAAAGGTCTCTGCTCTGTCAGAGCTAATTTAGTTTCTTTGCTGCGGTCAAATGGGTCCCAAGAAATGTTAGTTGTTCTAAGCTTCCATGACATCCCCCTTTCTTTCCTAAACCCTGACTCTGGTCTTCAATATATTTGGCTCTGTAACACAGCAAGGAGAAATTGGAGGGGAAAAAGAGGTACTTACCAGGAAACTTGTTCGTCATAAATGAACTGTAAAAAAAAAAAAAGAAAGAAAGAAAAAGAAAAAAAGGACAATTAGACATACACACATATGCAATGTCTGTACGCACACGCGTGCTTTATGACTGCACGTCTTCCAACCCATGTAGCTGGTTTGGTGGGAATCAGGCTGGGGCTGGCCTGGAACACGACGAATCTGCAGATAAGCTTCCCTCTGTGCTGGTTTCATGTGTGGCTAATGTTAGTGGCAGGAGGTGGTGTTGGCGGATGGGGGTGGCACGTTGAGGAGGAGAGAAGCAGCAGACCATCCTGTCCCTCCTGGCAATTTCTGTCCAACAGTGCAGTGAGAGGAACGCATGACCCCCTGCTATGCAGAGCAAGCCGCACTGTAGAATTTTAGATCCAGAAGGGGATGGGGAAGCCTGGCAGGTGCTTGCAAGCATTAGCCACTTGTGGGCCACCTGTAAGACGTCTGCATGTGCCTGTGCACTCTGTAGTACCTTTAAGCTTTTAGGCAAGCATGCAGACTTCTATGTACTCAATATTTTTTAAGTGGACCTATTTTGTTTGTTTGTTTATTTGTTTCCCTAAAAGAATTTACTTTCAAAGGAAACTCTGCATCACAACCAGAAGTAGAGAACCAGCTTCGCTTGCCACCAGTGTGCAGAGGATGAAAAATAAATGTGCTGACAACAGTGACTGAAAGTCTCAGCAGGGCACTGTGGGCTGCCCATGCCCTGGGCCACGGGCCTGCCCTTTTGCTAAAGGAGATAAGCAGGAGTCAGAGGCAGCTGGAAGAAATACAAGAACCAAATGGAGATTTTGACCCGATCAGATAGTATCCAAAAGGAATACACAACAAAAATTGAATTCATTTAACCCCTAGCTCATATATCATTCCAAATCACTTCTCACTTTAGGGGAAGAAGTGGTATAATTTTGGCCCTTTGATTCTATATGGGGAAACGGAGCCACAGAGAACACAAGGAATTTTCTTGAGGGTTCACAGAGTTTGTTCTAGAACTCGGGCCTGGCTCTTAAATCTTCTTTCCATGACACATTTATGTGCCCAAACGGTGCACTGTTGAAAACAAGTGGGAATGCCTATATATTAGTCAAGCAGGAAGCTGAGCGTTTCTTCATAGCTTGCACCTTCCACCTTCACCAGATACGATTGCTCTGGGTATGATCATCTCTGAGCAGGTGGCCCTCTGGAGACTCTAAGGCAGAAGAAACATCTGGGTTCAAAGTGTCAGTACTGCACAGATTTGGTAAAGTCAACAAATGACACGGGCATCGCTTCGGTCCCCAGAGATCAGAATAACCATATGTTGCGAGAGAGAGGCAGAGACGAGCAGGGGAGGGACACAGACGAGCAGGTATGGCTCAGAAGGCACATGAAAAGACCTCTCTCCAATTATCCCAAAGGCGTAAAGACAAGAAGAAAAGAAAGGGTCCTCACTGATTTGTACTCACACTTCCTGACAAGACATTGACAAAGATGTTGTCTTCAGCAGCTTTGTGACTCTTGTTATGGGATTCAACAGGTTGACATTTGCATGGAAATGTCAAACCAGAATGGGAAGAGAATTAAAGAAATAAAGGAAACCATCCCGTGATCTAGGCTGGATGGTATGCAATCCATCCCTTGGAAGGCTCCCAGACCCTTTTGTATAATCACCAGCTTAAAAAAATTATTGTTGAGAAATCATGGGACAGAACAAATGATTTAAGATGGAAAACGTTTCTATTAATTGAAGTTAATTCAGTATCAGTCTCGAGTAGCACGCTGGAGCAATCAATTCATCGTCACTTAAGAGAGCACGAGACACTGGTAAAGAGTTTATTAAAGTGCCAATTTAATTTTCGCGTATCAGGGAAGGCAGGCAATACTGTATAATATAAAAGCAGCTATAATATAAAAGAAGCCCTTATTCTATGCCATGTGACGGACAGGTGGGGGCATAGGTCAGTATGCCTCTAGTGATTGATTATCTCAGTGATCATAACAATGGGAAAAAATCAGAATAGGCTGAATTGTACAAAATGAGAATGGAATTTACACAGGACACAATGAATCAGGGAATAGTGGGCTCTGAACTAGATACACAATTAAGGGGCATCATGAATCCAACGTTAAGGCAGTGGCTGTGGCCAGGGAAGTTGGGGGTGGGAATGTGCTTGAGGGAGGCAGGCCAGGAAAGCGAGATGTCCATGGCCTCCCTACAAATTCTGACAAATGGTGGTGACCTGGAAGACTCCAAATAACGGATGAGGGATATCCCATCACTGACCAGTGACAGCCAGGAGCCCTTAGCTACCCTGTGGCTAATGAGCAAACACAGTCTGGGTTTTAATCAACTTCTTTAAGAAGATTGGGTGGGAAAATGAGAGGACTAAAAAAAAATAGCAAAATAGATAAAAGGAAATAAAAGTTAGGCCTTTAAGAAAACCTACGAGGAAACAGGAAAGGAGGCGGACGGCGAGTTATGTCTCTGAGCCTTGTTGGTGGCCTCTGGATGAGGTTGAGCCACTGATCATCACACACTGAGAGGGCTGAAAATGAGGAAACTGGCACTGTTCACAGAATGTTCCTGTGGGAGAGTATGGCACTGGACCACCCTGACGCAGTGCTGGAATCGCTCTTTCTGGAAACTTAAAATGACAAGGACAGGCAACGCTCCCACTTGACATTGCTGATGGTTCCAGGGAATGGATTTGTTACTCCTAACAGTTTTATTTTATTTTATTTTAGTCTATTCTATTTTTCTTAAGGCAAATGTTGAATATCCCTCTGTATTTCCACACTCTTTCCATGGCTAAAAGAAGACGAAACCACTGCCTTGGCCCCTTACAGCGGCATTACTAGGGTAGAAAAAACCCCCGAGATCGTTTATATAGGTACCTGTCTGAAACAGGAAATCACACCCCCACTCCCACCCATTCACCACTAGGTGGTGCTCACGTCCTACCCTCTGCCTGTCCATTCTGCCAAGGCAGTGAGTGGGGTTGAAAGGAAGTCAGATCAAGTCCGTTTCAAGGCTCCATGAAACTTCCTGGTAGGAGGGTAAGCACCTCAAAACAGACGGCTTCCTAAAGGAATCTTCAGCCAACGTTGGGGAGGCAGGACACGTTCTGAGTTGGGGACAGGCAGGTCCCTCAAGCTCATGCCACCACTCAAATCCCGTGTTGCAGTCGAGGGTCCTGCTGTGTGGCCTTTAGAACTGACTCACCTTTATCCTGGTCAGGTTTTTGAAAACGAGCCTTGCTTGGGGAAGCAGCTCTTTGTGCTTTTCTGGTTGTGTTTGTGCCAGACACTGCGGCCACCCCCAGTGACCACACATGGGTGGTGCTAAGTGGCACCTGAGCCCCAGGTTTGCTGCACACGGCTGGTCAGCAGACCTGCTCTCTGACCCCAATGTGATTCATCCAAAGCTACCTTTGGCTTCACCCTTAAGCTTTCCACGTGTTCCACAGACGAGCTAAATGTGAACACACACACGCAAGAGTGATTTTGAAGAAAAAAAAACCTCTCTTTTCCTTCAGGCCTCAGAGAAACAGTTGGGTACCATGGAAACCAGCTTTCAGTCCTGGTATCTGCTCTAGAGTTCTTCTAAGAGAGATAGGCTTACAGCAGGCAGGTGAATCCCCGGGTGACATCCCAGGGAACTGCTAAGGATGTGGCACCCTCAAGCAGGGAAAACACGGGCCAGGAATCGCCCAGGTGTGTGGACAGCAGACAGCCTGGCTGGCTTCTGAGCAGAGAGGCAGGTGGCTGTCCCCACACTGCATGTCAGTCCATGGATTGGCTTACCACAAGCTGCAGCCATGGAGCAGAAGCAGCCGCACTTAAGAGCCTGAGATTTCCGTAGCTTGTGTTACAATCACTGGCACCATTAGGATGTTCCGCAGCACACGTAATAGGAGAAAATCAACACCACTGTTGTCTTTCAAGAGACTAAAACTTGGGGCGCCTGGGTGGCGCAGTCGGTTAGGCGTCCGACTTCAGCCAGGTCACGATCTCGCGGTCCGGGAGTTCGAGCCCCGCGTCGGGCTCTGGGCTGATGGCTCAGAGCCTGGAGCCTGTTTCCGATTCTGTGTCTCCCTCTCTCTCTGCCCCTTCCCCCGTTCATGCTCTGTCTCTCTCTGTCCCCAAAAAATAAATAAAACGTTGAAAAAAAAATTAAAAAAAAAAAAAAAAAGAGACTAAAACCTTGAAAACTCTTTCCTCCCTAGATGGAAATGGAAGCTGCCCCTGCCGCCCCGACTTGTCACTCAACAGAATGGAGACGCCCTCGGGAGATGTGCCCAAATGGAGTTTTGACTTCCTCAGCTCTGGGGACTGGGGTGCAGATGGCTTAGGCGAGGCCATCTGAGGGAAGGCCTTCTGAGGGAAGGAATCTGATGGAATGCACTGGAAAGCTGCTGTTATGCACTGATATGGTTTACACTTGAAGTTATTAAACAGGAGTTTCGATGTCAGGATCTCTAGCAGGTGGACGACAGTGGTGGGAGCTGAAAGAGGGTAGGACATAAAGACTATCTAAAGGCAGGGCTTGAGCAGAACTTGCACTATGAGCAGGGCTTGAAGTATGCAGAGGCAGGATACCAGGGGAAGGAAATGGATACAGGGACAGATTTAGGATACGGGGAGGATAGTTTGCTAAACCAAAAAGGTTGGTTTGCTGGGCAGTGCGAAACCAGAGACACATTAACTACAACTTCCAAGTTGTCTTCCTTATGAAAGACAAAGGGTTCCTCTCTGCATCCCACAGTCTGGCTGACCCACTTCCATGCTCCTGGAGCAGACCCAAGGAAGACACGGCTTCCTGGTGTACCCCGACATCATTTAGAGCAGGCCCCTCCTCCTCTCAGGGGCGGGGATAATGACACAGGCCACACTTTGTATGATCATCGTTGATTTGTTTAAAGAACTTAAAATTTCTCACATTCATTCCCTGGGAGAATCTTCCAGCTTCCATGGTTATTTCTCACTTTGCTAGAAGGGGAGCTGAGACGTAACAGGGGTA